TAATTTCCAAAATCTCCCTACACATTATCCTCAAATACCTTTAATCTCCATGTTAGGATTAGCCTATATTTCTTGGTGAGAAAACAAATGCTCCTTTGCAGCACAGTAAATAAGAATGTATTATTGAGCATCAGGCATTCAAAAGTGTTAGTTCTGAATCGATACTGACCAAAAATAAGAAGTGAACCTTCAGTGCAGACTATACACTATGTCAGAACGTTTCCAGTGCATCTTTATATGAAGCTATCACCTCAGTGGGGATGATTAGACTCAACTACCAGAAGTCAGCAACAACTGACAGAGACCTTTGCAGAGGTATTGAATAAGAAAGCCAGACTTTCAACCAAAGTTGTAAAAACTTATGATGGGCTCCGCAGAGATAAGAAATCACACTGCTAAGGGTCAGCAAATGTCTGAATAGCGTAAGAGTAGACCAATAGGAGGCAACGGGAACACTGAAGCAAAGGAAACGGCTCCAGTGTGTGGTACTGGCTGGGACATCTGGAATTAAGAGGCAACTCCACCTTGTTCATGCGTTCATCGTCCGTCTCGATGCCGACGCTGTCGAGGATCTTTTTCAAGTCCTTGGACGTGGGGGACTCGTTGCCCCCGAGCACGGCGAGCAGATAAGCTGCGACGTAACGCATCCTGCGAGACAGGGGAGCAGCGTTTCGGCACGGCCGAGCTCCGTGCGCTCGGAGGCGCTCATCCCTCCTCCCTCCGAGCCACAATCCCTTGGCTCCGCTTCCAGAGCGCCCGCGCCCGCCCGGCCGCGCTCCGCACTGTGCCAGCACGGGGCCGGCACGCGGCGGCCCGCACACCTCTCCCGAAGAGAGAGCGAAGCGGCAGCGCGGCATCGTCCCTCCGGTGTCCGCTCAGCCCGGCCCGTCCCGGGCGCAGGCCGGGAGAGCACATGGCCGCCGTTCTCCCATCCTACCCACCACCCCCCCCCCCCCCCCCCCCCCCCGCCACGAATGATCCGGCCCGAGCCCCGCGCGGCGGCGGCGGCCGGCGCGGGGCCGGACGGCACCACTGCCGCGGAGGGGGGCGCGGCGCGCGCTCACCTGGGCGGCGGCGGCGGCGCGGGACGGCGGCCTGGGACGTGCGCGCGCGAGGGCAGGCGGCGGCGAAAGGAAGGGGCGGGGCCTCGGCAACGCCTTCTTCCCGCCACCCCTCAACAACGAGCGCTGCCATTGGGCCGCACCGGCGGGCAGCGCGCAGGCCAATGGGGAGCCGCGGGTGCGGCCGCCGCCAGCGCGGCCGGCGGCGCATGCGCAGAGCGTGGGGTGCCCGCTGTGTGCTGCTGCGCGGCCTTGTTGTGTGTGCTGGGATGGGTGTGGTTCCCCAAAATCACGGAGTCACAGAGTGAATGAGACTGGAAAACACCGCTGCGACCATCCAGGCCAACCTCTTACCGAATACCACTCTGTCAGCTAGAACATGGCACTGAGTGCCACATTCAATTTTTCCTTAGACACCTCCAGCACCACCAGTCCCGGGCAGCCTGTTCCAATGCCTGACCACTCTTTCTGTGGAGAAATTACTGCTGATGTTCAACCTAAACCTCCCCTGGCACAGCTTAATACTGTCCTCCAATTCTGGAATCCTGGCCTGGCCTGGCAGGATCAGCACAATCCCCTCTGTTTGTCCCATCAGTTGGGTTCTGCCTCCATGTGCACATCAGGCACATTCACACACAGTCTTCATATTTGCTTATTTTGTATCAGTGCAGAGATGGGCAGTGGGTGATGAATCCAGAAAGTCAGTGCCTGGCTCTGCATTTCTTCATGGAAAGGGTGGTCAGGCATTGGAAAAAACTCCCCAGGGAGGTGGTGGAGCCATTGTCCCAGAGGTGTTCTGGGAACAGCTGGATGTACTAGTTAGCTTTGGTCTAGTTGGTCAGTGGTGGAACTTAATGATCTTGGAGTGGCCGGCAGGATTAGGGAAGTGAGCATCCCTCTGTACTTGGCACAAGTGAGGCCACCCCTCGAGCCCTGTGTCCAGTTCTGAGCCCCTCACTTCAATACAGACATTGAGGTGCTGGAATGTGTCTGGAGAAGGGCAATGGAGCTGGCAAAGGGTCTGGAGCACAAGTCTTGTGAGGAGCAGCTGAGGGAGTTGGGGGTGTTTAGCCTGGAAAAAGTGGGCTCAGGGGTGACCTTAGCACTTTGTACAGCCACCTGAAAGGAGGTTGTAGAAAGGCAGGGTTTAACCTCTTCTCCCAGGCAATTAGCAACAGGAAAAGAGGATATAACCTCAAACTGTGTCAGGAAAGGTTCAGCTTATATATTCAGAAGAATGTCTTCACACAAAGGGTGATTAGACATTGGAATAGACTGCCCAGGGCAATGGTGGAGTCATCTTCCCTAGAGGTGTTTAAGGAAAGACTGGACGTGGTACTCAGTGCCATGGTCTAGTTGTCATGGGTTGGACTGAATGACCTTGGAGGTCTTTTCCAATCTGAGTGGCTTTGTGGTTCTGTGAAATACCTCAGCTCCACACTTCTTGCACACTGGGTGACAGAACCCGCTTGTGGGACAGCAGGGCTCTGTGCAGGAGGGACAGGGCTGCTGTCCTGTGCTGGGAGGCTGGGAGGTGGTAATCCATGGCAAGGTCTCGCCATAGGATTATGGGAGTCACCACCTGTGCTTGTTCACTTGATTTCCCGCACTGAGGAAATGAATAGAAGTAAAAAGTTAACACTGCGCTGAAAGCCATTGGACCCAAACAAACCAGGAGTGCTGGTTCAGCAGCAGAGCTGTGTGTGGGCTGTGGCTGTCCCTGCCTTGCTGCCCTGGAGGTGCCCCAGAGATCCTCAGTGTTGGGGCTTCTGTGCTAGTTCAGGTGCTCTCAGAAAACAACCAGGCTCAGAGTGCTACAACTCAGCCAGAGCCTGGAGTAGTCAGTGGTTACTGTCTACTATGTGTAGGAAGAGGAATTTCCCTCAGCCACGTGCAGCTTGCATCCAGAGTCCCAGAATGAATTCAGTTGGGAAGGTCTTCTGAGACCTTCAAGTCCAACCTGTGACCAAACACCACCTTGTCAACTAGACCATGGCACTGAGTGCCACATCCAGTCCTTCCTTAAACGCTTCCAGAGATGGTGACTAGATCAGTTCCCCGGGCATGTCGTTCTAATGCCTGAGCACCCTTTCTATGAAGAAATTCTTCCTGATGTCCAACCTGAACCTGGACATCAGCTGGAGAGCATGTCCTCCTGTCCTGTCGCTTGTTTTTTGGGAGAAGAGGCTGAACCCCACCTGGCTACAAACTTCCTTTCAGGGCAGCCCCAGCCCTGCGCACTCTTAGGGTCGCAGCCCCTGCTCCATTTCTCTCCCTGGAATGAGCACAACCCCCGGCGGTGCCCGTGCCTCCCTCTCCCTTGGAGCCTAGGGGAGCCAGACGGGACGGGCTGCGGTGCCGGGACCGTGGCCGTGTCGGGAAATCTCCTTTCGTGCCCTTGCTGTGGCAGCAGGAAGGGCACGGCTCCCCATAGCAGCCGGCCGATGTCCCGCTGCCTCCAGCGCCTCCCCCGCGCCGTCCCGCCCCGGATCGCGGCGCGGCTCCCAAGAACTTTTCAGGAAGTGGCGGGCAGAGCCCTGCGCAGCCCAGCCCCGGCTGCCGAGGGCCGGGGCCGCTGCGGAGGGGTGAGAGCGGCGGGGCCGTGCTCGGCCGGGCACGGGGCGCGCCTGCGGCTGCTGCCGGGACCTGGGCAGCGGCGTGGGGTGACGGGCCAGGGGCACAGCGTGCTGCGGACAGCCCGGCCCGGCTGTGCGTGTCCGTGTGCGGGGTGTGTGTCCGTGTGCGGGGTGTGTGTGTCCATGCGGGGGGCTGTGCGTGTCCATGTGCGGGGTGCGTGTCCGTGTGCGGGGCTGTGTGTGTCCGTGTGCGGGGCTGTGTGTGTCTATATGCGGGGTGTGTGTGTCCGTGTGCAGAGTGTGTGTCTGTGTTCGGGGTGTGTGTGTCCATGCGCGGGGCTGTGTGTGTCCATGTGCAGGGTGCGTGTCCGTGTGCGGGGTGCATGTCCGTGTGCGGGGTGTGTGTGTGTGTCTATGTGCGGGGTGTGTGTGTCTGTGTGCGGGGTGTGTGTGTCCGTATGCGGGCTGTGTGTGTATGTGTGGGCTGTGTGTCCGTGTGTGGGGTGTGTGTCCGTATGCGGGCTGTGTGTGTATGTGTGGGCTGTGTGTCCGTGTGTGGGGTGTGTGTCCGTATGCGGGCTGTGTGTGTATGTGCGGGCTGTGTGTCCGTGTGCGGGGTGCGTGTCCGTGTGCGAGGCTGTGTGTCCATGTGCGGGGTGTGTGTCCACGTGCAGGGCTGTGTGTCCATGTGAAGATGTGTGTTTCAGAGTGTCTGCAGCACCATGTCTACCCATGTCTGTTGCCCCTGAGGCCGCCTCTGTGGCTTCTGGAGATGCCCTCTGGTTCCTTCACCACTGACAGTTTTACAAAGCTATAGCTGATGGACTTTATTCTTACATGTGTCTGTAAGGGGGATATGTACATGTTGTGCACAATGTCTTTGTAAGAAGTGCTCACCTTTATACTAAAGCAGTAGTTTCACTTTTATCCCATTGGCACTCAGTTTCTCAAACCAGGTTCAACGAGGACCCAGTACAATTTGTGAGCTGCCTCTGGGCTCTGCTTCCTCTTCTTCTTGCCTTTACATTTCTGTCCTTTCAGAGTGAGGCATTTCTGCTGCTTCAGGGGATGACGCCTCCCCCAGACTGTGTCTTGGGAACATCAGTGCTGCCATGTCCCACAGGCTAACAGTAAAGGTGCTGCTCCTCAGGGTGTTGCTGGGGCATTATCTTCTTTCTGCTGGCCTTGGACTTTAAAGCCAAGTTTGTTCTAATTCTGCATTACTCAAAAGAAACTTCTGTTTACCAGTTTGATCCATGGCAGGGTTAACAAAGAGCTCCTGATATTCACACTGTGAGCTAGTTTAATTGCCCAGCTCAGGAGGTGTTACTCCTGCACCACCAACATGCCTTTTCTAACCCTCTTGCTGCCCCTATCACATTTTCTCTGCTGCCCTTTGTCCATTTGCTTTTATCCCATTGACACTGGGTTTCACAACCGGGTTTGATGGGGACCTGTCACAGTCTGTCACCTCTGGGCTCTGCTTCTGGCTCAGCTCTCCCTGCCCCAGTTTTCTTCTCTACTTGTAAAGCTTCCTACTAAGGCATCTTGAAATCTACATTAGGCGTAGGCATTTACATTTGTGTCTTTTAAAGTTAATATTGGTCTTTATTCTGATGGTGCATAATTGCTCCATTTCCTGCTGAGATGTTGGCTGGAAAAATTCAGAGGTTTTTCTCTAGGAGGAGAAGCCCCTGTGACATCTGTCATGTTGCATTTCTGTGCTCTTTGCTCCAAAGCTTTCAGTAGCATGCATGTAATCTTTCCTACCATCTTGCTGTGATTATGAACTGTTTCCAGCCACTCTGGACTGGGGCAGGAGGCTTCATTGTGCACCTGTGTTCTTTTTCAGAGCCATCTTTGCTCCTCTCCTTGTCCCAGCTGACTTGTGGTGCTGCCAGTGCCTGCCTGCCTGGCAAGTCAGAGCATGTCTAGACCCTGTGGATGAGATGCAGAAGATGGCAGAGCTGCTGGGGCTCAGGGATGAGTGTGAGGAGGGGACTGTGGGGGCTCCTGCCCTCGCTGGCTCCTGCCTTGCTGACAACAGACTGAACCTGGATGTCTATCCTGACGGCTGCCGCCGTTTCCTCCAGCTATTCAAGGAGCAACAGGGAGAGGTGGTCCAGGTTGAGTTCCTCCGGCTCAGCAGCAACGATTGCCTCCTTGACACCACACTGGGCAGCCTTCCTCATCTGAAGCACCTGAAATCCCTGGTGCTTAAAGGTAAATTCTGAGGTCCGTTGCCATCCAGCTTTTCTAGGCTCATATTTTTTATCCTTCTCTCCATATCTGCAGGACAAACTGTCCTTGGAAGTGTTTTGTTCCAGTGCCCCTTACCTCAGCTTTGGCTCAGCCTTGCTCAGAGCTGAATGCAGATTTCAACATGATACAGCTTCTGGACTCTTATTTCCTCCCTTTGTTTTTACAGCTGCCTGGGGACTGGGTTTTTGGAGTCTCGTTCAGTTGATGCTGCAGCATTTTCTATAGCCATTCTCTAGAAGAAGAGCATTTTTGCAGTTATGCAAGAAGAGGGATTGAAAGGTGTTGAATCTTTTGGTGAATGTTCAGCCCCTATTTAGTCTTGCTTAGTGTAAGTTTAGCAAAGTTCAAGACAGACCAGAAAATGCTGTTTGACATTTTATGTAAAGTAGGACACAGGGTGTGCATGTAATTTAGAAAAGTGTGATAACTGTTAGAGCTATAAATATTAGATCATTCTTGGACTGTCTCATCAATTTATTGTGGTAGGATCTCAATACAACAAGCATTGTTTCTGTGTCAGACTGAATAATTTGCTCTTTGGGAGGTAGAATTTTAAAAATAAATGAGAAAAAAAAGGGGAGTTTTGGGGCAGAATTCAGGGTTCCAGCTGAAAACTGAAAAGTCTAAGGTTTGCTTCTATATCTGTCATAAATTTTCATGTGAATAATTTGATTTGTGTTTTCCCCCTTTAGTAAGGTGGCAATAACAGCAGTAACCTTTATCAGTCTTGTTTTGTGAGATGTACACACACCCTGAGCATTCTGAAGTGCAATAAAGTAGTTCAGTAAGATCTTATGTACAAAGTGCAATGTGCCTAGTTCAGTAAGCTCTTATGTACAAAGTGCAATGTGCCTATTTGCTTGTTCTCATTTTGTACCATTATGCAGCATAAAAAAATGTTTGGTGCCCTCTGCTGTATATGGATATAAATAGAAAACAGTAGAGAAGGAGTATGAAACAATGAATAAGTGGAACATTTGGAAGTTTCCTTTTGTTTGCTCAAGTTATTTTCCAGGGCTGCAGCCCTTCTCTAATTTGAGTGTCACAAGCTGGGATACGGAACTTTCATTCTTTGCTCTCTGTGTCTGCCTACAAAATACTGAATTACCTACTTCCCCCACACACATTTTCACTGCTTTCCTCCTGTCTGCCTAGAAAATACTGAATTACTTGCTTTTTCCTCCTGCATTTTCCCTGCTCTTTCCTCAGACGTGCCCCCCAGTCTTGCAAGGGCAGATACCAGTCCTCAGGGCTGTTTGCTTCTGAACAGCATGGATAAATCATTGAGGGCAAGGACTATTTCCTTGATCCAGAAAGTCTTGTGCGTTGGCCACTGGTAGTGAGGAAGAAGTGAGGAAGGAGAGTGGGAGGCTTGGAGGTATATGGGCCATCCTGCTGAAGTGTGGTAAATGTGTGGGGTGGCGTGGCTCGTTCTGAGCTTTCACTCCAGATGTGTTGAACAGAGCTGTACTGGTTCACTGTGGTATCTCCTGGTTTCATAACAGCTCTTCACTGTTACACTCCTTTCGCTGATCAGGAAACAGGCACGGAGCAGAAAACTCACTTCTCTGAGCACTTTGTGATTAGTGCTGCTCATTGTTATCAGTAACTCCCAATCTTGTGAATCTCTGTGCTGAGTCTCACATGAGGCTGGTGAGCTCTCCTGGTAGCATACTGACCTCTTCCATTTCCCTCCACCCAGGTGGCCTTGCTAGGGATGAGTTTGGTTCCTATCAACATGGCTCCCTGACAAGCTTGCCACCTGACTTTGGGGACCTCAGGTGTCTTACCCACCTGGATCTCAGCTTCAATAGACTCTCCACCTTGCCGAGCTGCATTCTCCACCTCCCCAGCCTCCGTGTGCTCCTGGTGAGCCACAACAGCCTGATGACACTTCCTGAGGACTTTGGCTCTCTGAGTAAACTGACTTTCTTCTCTGCAATGAAAAATCAGCTGAAAGACTTACCTCAGAGCATTGGGGAGCTGTCATTGCTGCAGGATCTGGATCTCTCAGAAAATGCTTTGGAACTGCTCCCTGAAGAAGTTGGGAATCTGCACAACTGTACAGAGCTGGATCTCTCTGGGAATCGCTTATTAAGCATCCCAGAATCCCTAGGTATGTATTTTATTGGGGAAGAGAAGGACGTGGGCTTTGCCAAGCTTTTGGTACAACCTCTGAGACTCTTGGTCTCTACCCCAGAGCTGTTAGCCTAAACTATTTTATGTTGGAGCCAAATGGAAGGGGTATGCAGAAGGATACTGCTTGGTTCAGTCAGTGCCTTTGAGCATTAACAACTCTGGATCACACTTCCTGTTTCTGTGAATCATAAACACTGCTGAAATTTCAATACAATTTACAATGACTGAGGATCTGGCCTGGCTGGTTTTGGGTAGCAGAAGAGCTGAGGTTGGTGGGATGAGAATCTGGGCTTGAAATCACACTGTCCAGTGTGGACCAGTCCACAGAACTGGGCCCTGACTTCTGCTGGCCAGCATCCTGGGTCCTGTATTACTTTGTGACTGAGGCTGATTTTGCTGCTGTTAAGCTTTTGTGCTTTTCTCATTATGTGTGTGTTGACATGGGCTGAGGAGAGAGGGTTGGAGCTGATATGCAATGCAATTAACAGCACGGATGGGGGGTCATTTCTTGTTCCAACCTGCAGCCAATTTGAAGTCTCTGCGTCGGCTGCATCTCCACAGCAATCTCCTGGTGACAGTCCCTGCCTCTCTTGCCAGCCTGCCCAACTTGTCCAGACTTGATCTGCAGAACAACTCCCTCCGTGCCATCCCTGCTGAGATCCAGGCCCTGCCGTTTGTGCACGTCCGAGGCAATCCCTTGGGAGAAACGGAGCCATCCCCGCAGGCTGGTAATTGCAAGGCTTCTGCTGCTGTGTGTTCTGCCCAGCTGTTCCCTCACTCAGCCCAGCAGGGTGTAGATGGGTTTGGATTAGAGAAGACAAGCAGGGGGGAATCAGTTCAGCAGTTATTTCTCTGGAATAATTATTAAGTTGTAAGGATACAGACAGTATTAGTTATGTCTTTATGAGGCCTATACAAGTCTGAAGGGCTCAGGAGTCCCTGGAATTGGGCTTTCTTGGTAGGGTTTCACAGTGGAAGTAAAAATGGGACTCACAGGAAACATATCAGGAGAGGTCCCTAAAGGGGTCCAGCCTTCTTAGCAGAGGTGAGCACCAGTTCTTGGACTTGCTGCTTGGCCCTAAGGCTGTGGTGGCTTATGCTAGAACCTCAGAGAACAGCAAGAGGTCATTCTGTGCAGTTGCCTCCTGCTTTCCTGAGGTTCACAGGCTGCAGAAGAACAGCTCCTTATCCAAGAGGAAGGTGATGAAATGAGCAGTATTCTGAGCAGGGTCTCCCAATGGTGCTCCTGTTCACAAGAGCAGGCACTGATTCCCAGGATTGCCCCAGGCAATCAAACATGGCCCTGGGAGCTGCAGAGGAAAACTGAAATATTTTTGAATTCCCTCTGCTTCTGAGTTTCCCTGGGGGAGAGTGAGCATTTTCAGTATGTCCTGGAACCTCGAAGCCACATGCCATCCTCTTGCTGCTGTGTGTTCTGGGGCCCACTGCAGTGTGACCATGGTTCCATTAGCGACTTATGTCAGATTAGGATTAAGCCAAAACTGTTCAACCTTTCTTTGTCTACCTTGGTTTAAGTAACCTCTGTCTCCTTCTCCTACCCAAATCTTCTTATTGCCACAGATAAATCCAGTACCAGAAGGCTAAAAAGACTCTTCCTTGCATCAGGAGAGGGCAGGTAAGCCTCTGCTATTAAGAATTTATATTACAGACAAGGTGCATGGTGGGTATTGCAGGAATGTATAGGAGCCTATAGCCTCAGTAGGCTGGTGAAACACAAGTATGAGATTCTTCTATTGATTTTTGGAGAGCAGAAGTCACTGCACAATGTCATAAATTCATGCATGTCTTCTGGAAGCTTTACTGTCACCTCTGAAGGCTGCAGAGTGGTCCTGGCCTGTGGCATCCATTTCTACTTTCCGCCGGGGGCTGCCTCTGATCCTGTGCGGATCCACTTCCGATCCCTCACGCCGGATCCACAGTGGGTAAAGCTGAGACACCATGATGTCCTGCTCAGTAGAGTCCTGGAGCTGCAGCCTCATGGGGTCCAATTCCAGCAGGTGAGGGTACACCCAGGTCACCTGCTGATGAATTTGCCTTTGCAGTAGCTCAGTAGAGTCTTCTGAGAGCGCCTTTTGGGACCTATGAGACAGTTACCCCCATCCATGGTGCTTTTAAGTAGCTGCAGGACTGCCTCTCAAAGAAGCCCTGCTGCAGAGAGAACGGACACAGCCTCTGATACTGTGCTGATCTGGCATCTTTGCCTTCCCCACTGCTCCTGATTGAGCTGAGCTATAACCTTTTTCACTCACATCCCTCCTGCTGTACCAGAGGATAAGTCTAGCATCTGGCCTTAGCCTGAAAAGAGAATGGTTTGCATCCTTCTCTAAGAGTCTGATCGTATGGTTTACATTGAAGCTGGGGAGTAGTCACACCACCTACCAGCCCCATCATGGCTGACAGCAGCTCACTGCAAAAGTTGCTTTGCCCTTTCTGCTCAGAAGCTGCCGAACCTTTCCTGCCATCACAGTCCATAGCAGACCTGACATTTCCTGTCTCCTCCCCAGAGACTGCAGGGCAGAGCAGGTTCTTTGATCCCCTGCATACAGGCCATGCTCTGCCCTCCCTCATCTGCATGGGAAGCCACAGTGCAGAACTGGCCTTGGTTTTATCCTTTCTGTGTCTCACAGGAATGCTTTTTTGCCAGGAGGTGCAGATCTGGATGCCATATATCTCACCTCAAACCCCTCACCAGAATGAGGTTGTAGTTCGGACCTTCAGTGGGCAGAGCTGGAATGACCTGAAAACAAGAGTGAAGCAGAAGAGAAAATCAAAGGTGAGCAGATTGAAATTACCAGTGACACACTTTGCTCCTGTTCTCCTCTTTGGTTGCGCCCAGCCAAGAGTGAACCTATTTGAAACATCTCATGAGCTGTGTTTTGACCAGCTGCAATAAAATGTAGTGGATTTCAGCTCCAGGTTTCCTCCTTAATGGAGATGTGTCTCCTGAAGTTGATGAGTTGCATCCTGCCATGCTTCATCTCTGATCTAGGACTTTCTTCTGCTTGGCTGGTACTCATTTTCCTGCCTTTATTGTATTAAGTTATATGCCTATATGTGTTCTTCTTTGTCCTCTGTCACAGAAGTGTGTGGCCCACTGTTGTGTCCTTCACTTCTCTTGGTTCCTTGTTGTGTCTCGACTTGTGCAAAATGAATGCAAAGTGCCAGCAGAGGGGACATTGCTCTTTTCCAGCGTGGATCCAAACATCAAAGTGATCTTTCCTCCTGGAGTCACCAAAGAGCCTCGTAGTGTCAAGCTGCAGGTATGCATGCTTTTTGGTGAGCTCTGGTGCAGCTGTTTTCTCGTGTTCAGTGCAGAACCAAGCAGAGATGTCTGCCCTAGCGTAATTCATGTCTAGATATGGTTGCTTCATGGGCTGACCCATCTCAGATCACCTTCTCTCTTCCCTACAACATGGGCCTTGCTCTATGCTGCCCTGTGTGGTAAAGGGATCTCCAGCAGACCAGCGGGTAGCTGCTGTGAAGGGAACACAAAAATATTTTGCCTCTTTTTCCCTTGCAAAACTAACCCTAGGAAAACAGCTCAGTGAGAATTCGGGGTGGTGGAGGAATCTAACATGGATCTAATTCTAAAATCACCCCACTAAAATTATTTGTTCTGTAGAACTGCTAGAAGATCTTGTAACACTTTAAGTTCATCCCAGCCCAACAGGTTGCCAGTCTTCGGCTAAGATTCACTGTGCTTTATTTCTCAGCAAATAAATCTTGCTGGGCCCTGCAGCAAAAGCAGCATTTACCTGCTGGGTACTGGAGGAACTGGGTGAGCAGTGTGGGAATTTAGTGCCTGACTGCTCTGCTCACAGTGCTGTCTGCCACATCCAGGTGCTGCCAGTCTCTGCAGAAGAGATACAGGAAATCACAGCCAATGCAGGGTGTAGAGCCAGTCCCCTGCTCTACCTCTCACAGGACTCCACAGTGGATTTTCTCAAGCCAGTGAGAATTCAGCTGCCTCTTCCACCCGGGGTCACAGGTCAGCTTATTCCCAAAATTGACAAAGGGAAATACCATATTTGGAAAACCACAAAAGGGAAGAGATAATTTTATTTGCCTCTCCTGTTGTTAATAAAGCTTGCTGCTTTTCCTGCAGGAACAGCAAGGTGTGTCCGCTGACTGTGTTGTGGTGCAGAGCGGTGGGAGCTGAAGGTAGTTCAGGTCCATCAGATCAGGGCTGGGGTTCACAGACAAGCTGGGAGAATGCTCTTGTCAAAAGGATTTCTCTGCCAAACCACATGTGTATTTTAACTGCTGGTTTTACTATGGTGGATTGAGAGGCACTCCTGCCCACTGAGGAGATGCATTTTAAAAGGGCTTTGATTCATGATTGGGACTAGCTTGAAGCAAGAAATGAATGTGGTATTTTCCTTGCATATGAAGCAGGTGCTGAGCCATTGCATTTAAAAATGTATGATTGCATGTATGATTGTATGCTGAGCCATATACCACTCTGAAAACTGCTAAAAACAGCCTCAGTCATGCCTTGGATTCTTCTGTTTGCTGAGTACCCTTAGTCTCCTTACTCCTATGTTCTTTGACCCCTCCTGGTTTTCTTGTGAAGAAATACATGGCCTTCATTAGTACATCACCTGGTATTTGTACGCCTGAAGTGCATCAAGGTTGAAAAGTCTATGAGATATACATGAGAAAGAAATAGTACTTAATTAATAACCCTAGATTTTAGTGATGCGAATTGTCTAATGAATCTGTTGGTGGGAATGAGCACACTATAATTTTAACTCTGCCTGTTTTGTCAGAACATCCCAAAAGCAATGGGATAGCTTGGTCCTTTTATTGCTGCTCTTCTTTGACCAAAGTTCAGTCCTGGATGCTGAAGAGAAGGCTGTGAACCTTTATTTGATAGCTTTAAAAAGTAAATCACTCAAACCTGTGGCTCGATTTGTAAAGCCATGAATAAAGGTTTCTTCTCATATAGCATCTCTTGATCATTGGTCTCTTTAGGGCTAAATTTGGATCGGTCAAGGCTGCATATACTCCATGGTGACCTGGAGGGCCAAACCTGGAATGACATCACCAGTGAGGTGGTGCTGGAATTCACCCATCTTTATGCAGTGTTTGAAGTCACTCACTTCTCCTGGTAAGTGCAGGATTAATCCTGAGGAAAAGATGGGATATTCCTCTGCCTTGTTTTTCCAACACTCTGATCAGAGCCAAGACATTAATTCTATCTGTTCCCTTTTCCTTTTGCAAGTCAGGCCCAGCACAGCACTTTGTCTCTACCTGTCTTTCTTTCCAATTGTGTGGGTGTGGCACTGCACTTTTCTCTGGGTAGGGTCCCTCTGTTTTTTTTTTTTTAATTCCTTGTCTCCAGGTACTGGCTGTGGTACACCACCAAGACCTACATTGGAGGCATTGCCAAGAAGGTCTATGAGCGCCTGCGTCTGTACCAGGTGAACTTCATAGCGCTGCAGAGGAAGAGGGATCCTGAGCAAGTCCTGCTACAGTGTGTCCCCAAGCACAAGGTCTGATCTGGGTTGCACTGCCTTGCTCCTGAGCTTCCCAGACTTCCCTTTGTAGGATGTAAAGGCAGCAGTGCACCAAACAGTCCTGTTCACTGCCCCAGAGTCATGGCTGGGATATGCTGTCACCACACTGTTGGTGCTGTGATACTGACTCACAGGGAGCTGAGGGAAGAAAAAAACTCATTCTAGCAGTGGTAAATGCCATGCATTGATTTCCTCCCCTGCAAACCCTGAGGACTGGGCTGCTAAAATCAGCTGAACCACAGTTACTGGCCATGTATATGGTATTATAATCCAGCAAACATGAGGTAAAACATGTTGCCTTAAATTTAAGTCAAAGTTTACATGTCATTTGTCTGACGTGGGCTAGTGGTGTGGGCAGCAGCAGTGCTTTGTTTTCAGCTGGAGTGGTTAGAAATGGTAATTTTCCTTATGTTCTTGCTGTTCTCAGTTCAAGCACTTGAACAGAATATATGAGCACTCCTTAATCTGCTTTAATGCAACATCAGGTTAGTTTATGCAATGAGTATGAGCTTATCTGGCTAACTTTGTCAAGAAGGAGATGGGAAGTGCTCACTCATTCTCTTCTGCTGCCTCTTCCTGGGGATATCAGCCCTCAGCAGTGTAGTCTCAGATTAGTGTGAGTATGAGTGTGCAGCTGTGGAGAATGTGTTCCCTGGCAGGCAGTGCAGCTTGGTGAAGTAAGGGTTATTTTATCAGAGTGCCACTACTGGGCTGCATATCCAGCTCTGCATAATTCTCTACTCTGGTTGCTCCTTCTCTTCACCTGTGCTCCTGTATTGAACTGACATGTGAACACAAACATCTGCAAGGATTTTTTATATTGGGTTCTGGGCTAAAACTGACTCCAGATGAGGCATCAATGACATTTGGAGTGAGATTGTTTGGATTGGTTATTTGGGTCTGTCTGTAATCCTGCTGGGAATGGTCATGGAGTGAGAGAGGTTTACTGTTACAAATAGAACGAAGAATCTAACATGACTCTTGCACTGCCACTGTGATCACAGGCTACAAAGCCAAAATGAGCTTTCTGGTGTCCTCAGCCGTGTGCTGTTGTAGCATGTGTCTTTTTGCAGTGCAAATTTATTTGAACAGTGAGTGGGATATGGTAGCAAGTAAATCCCTCCTTTTCTTTGAAGTTGAAAAGACCGGTTTAAAAGATAGAGACAGTGCTGAAAATTTTTATGGGCTTTTGTTCATTTGTTTACATCCTTTTCATGTAAAATAGTCTTCCCTGTTAAAGGTGAGAGGAACATCATGGGTATAGAAACATGGGTTGGTCAGATGTACTTCTGACCAAACACTGTCTTCCTTGTCAGGTTGACCCAGTGCTGAAAAAGCTGCAGGACCGCTATCGAGGACCTGAGCCATCTGACATGGTGGAGATGTTTGAGGGAGAGCAATTTTTTGCAGCTTTTGAGCGAGGCATCAGCATTGATATGGGTATGGCAGTACTGGGCTCATTCTGCTCCTACCAACCTCCCTCTCATCCTGCTCTGGCCCTAGATGTGTTTCTGCTGTGGGTTGTACTCCTCCATGGTTTTCCTCTCTGTCTCCAGCTCACCCACTGCTCACAGCAGCCAGCCCCTGGATATTGAACTTGTCACATTCACATAACCTTTCTGTCTGCTTTTCCTTATGAAAGTGCTGTTTGCAGACTTTTATTTCTTCTCATAATCTTGTAAACCTGCAGAGGGCAATAGCCAGGCGGGTTTATTTTTATGAATGATCTGCTTCTGCACACTTTTCTCCACAAGTTGAATGCTTTCTGCCTTCTCTGCACAGATCGCCCTGACTGTGTGGATGGACGTCTCTCATTTATTTTTTACTCCCACTTGAAGAACATGAAGGAAATATATGTGACCTCCCCTGTGGACAGAAAAGGCCAAGCTGTAAAAGGCCAGGTGAACAATGAGTTACACTGACTTCTTGTTTCTTCCTTCATCATTGCTTTTACAATACTCGATGTAAAAGTAATGGCATGAACTACAATAATCTCTGAGTGCTGGACATAACTCTTTTCCTACCCTCTTTCTCTGACTTTACATTTCACTGACTAAACTCTGAATAATCAAGAAGTGTAATCTTGAAGGATCACTTATCACTTAACTGTCTGACTTACATTCCTGACCTTAATTTTTGGGGTGCTGGCAGAAAGCCCAGCCTTTATGGCAGAACCTCAGTGCTCCTCCCAGTTACACATAATTTGTGGGCTGAGGATAGATGAGAATGCTGAATTCATTCTTTCCCAAATGGAAAAGACATGGTGCCAATAGGCTGGGCCACTGTGTTTGAATCAGAGCCTTACTGCATGCTTTCTTTTTGCAAAGGTCTCCTTCTACCGAGGGGCAGTTCCAGAGAGCATCCCTGAAGATGCCAGCAGGAGGAGAAAAGGTCCAGACTCCCTCTGGCTTGCAACTCTGCCCATCAAACTGCCTGTGAGTTGTCTCCTACAGAAAAATTAATCTAGATGGGGCAAGAGCATGGCATTTCTGCTCAGCTAATTTTGTTTCCTCCATGAGAAGGCATGCAATGAATGACCACAAGAAATAGCTGCCCAGCCGTGTCATGGTGGAGATTTTGCACTCCCTGTGAGCGAGCTCTTCTGAAACGAGAACATGAAGAGCTGGAAGTGGTCTCAGCTCTCCTGCTCACCTTGCCTGTCAAGCACAGGCTTGTTGGATGGCGGTCAGAGTCAGAGAGGGTGGATCCTTTGAATAAATGAGAATGTAGTACGCAAGGAAGCTTGTTGTAATTAAGGGGAAGTGTCTGTTTTGTTTATAAATTTCTTAGTCACACAGCTCATGCATCAGGAAAGAAGAAAGGAATAGGAAGAGGTAATTATGGTGGATTTGAAATAGACATTGAGTGTAGGTATTCTGCTGTGAGCGTTAAAGGCTGGGCTGTATGTTACAGTGAGAAATGCAACTTTTGCTCACGGAATTTAAGTGACATTTGAGAAGCCTAAAACAATAAATACCTTGGTAGGCTGAATACTTCCCTTCCGATCACATGTGATGATCTCACATCCCTTTCTGACACACACAACCTCAACTACAAACCTAGACTAAGTGCTCTCTTACTGCTGAGGCAAATGTGCTTCGGGGATGTGGTTTATTTTAAACTGCTCTGTAAATGCAGGAAAGGAAATTTCTGATGTGAGCTATGACTGTGAGCATTACAGTTTGATATTTTCCTGAGTGAGCATTGCTGGTCACTGCCAATGTCAGTCCTCCTTGCTTCTTACAGCCTGACCCTTCAGCCACAAGTACTTCCTTTCTCCCCAGTAGAAGGAAGGAGATGTCACTGTGGAGGCTGAGTGCCCTGACACTGTCCTCTACGAAAAGAAAGAATGTTCTTTCTCTCTCTTCTTTCTGACACAGCAACTGAAACCCCGGGATGAGAACCCTGGTCCCCTGTATGGCTTCTCCTTCCCTCCCTTGAACCTGGGCAATGCTGAGACTGGGTACCTGACACAGGCAAACCTGCTGAGCATTGCTAGGCGTGTGGGAGCTGACTGGCAGAGCATCGGCCTCAACCTGGGCCTGACCTACCAGCAGATTGAGCGCATAGGATACAATAACAGGTGAGAATAGGACACAGTAATCAACAGTGATGCATTATATATGTCTGTCCATCTATCCACAGTGTAATAGTGTTAATCAATGCTTGGCTGGTTGAAAGTTCTCCCACTGTAATTGTTTCACTGGATTAAAAATGGGTTGACTAATGGTTCTTCTGAAAATAATACCTTTTATAATGGGAAACTGATTATGTTCTCTTGCCATTATAAAATAATTTTTTTTGTTTGAAAAACAAAATCAGGAAATAGCAAACCTGATGAGCTTTGTAGTTCAGCTGAGTTGCATTCCTGTTTTGTTCTGTGGTCAGATTCCTGGCCAACCTCCATCTCTTACAAAGAAAAATTATCAATGGCTTTAATAGTGAATATAATTGTTATTCAAAAAGAGCTTGTGGTACATCACGGGACATGCAGCCTGACCAAAAAGCCAAAGCAGTAGGAGACAATTAGACTTGTTATGATCAAACTGGTGTTCCTCTGAGGAAATTATATTCAAGAGCAGAATGCCTTAATTTGATACTTCTATTAGGAAAATATTTTATAGAGAAACATTCATGCAGGAAACATTCATTTTATATAGAAGCATTCATGCAACTCCTGTATGCTGGGTAGGAAAGAGGGAGGCCTACTGAGTGCTTGTGTGTCTGGATGGCTTCTTTAAGGCTCTAGCCATGACTGGGACCTAGGTAAGGTCTCTTTGGTTTGCTACTCAGGAGATCGTGTTGGTTACTTGTGTCTTTCGTCCTTTCTTCAGAGAGGACCTCAACAAGCAGATCCTGGACATGCTTTTCTCGTGGGCTCAGCAGAACTCAGAGGATCCCGACTGCGTGAGGAAGCTGATTACAGCCATGAAAGAGAGCGGCCGCCAGGACATCGCGGATGAGGTTGAAGCCATCATTGAGCTGGGCCGGCAGAAATACAGCGAGTCCATCCGCCGGCTGGGCCTGGAGCAGGAGAGCAGCACTGAGGACTCTGCAATAGCTATGATGTAGCACCTAGCAGAGAAAAATGGGGTTTGAATGGAACCCCTCTGTGTAGCCAGAGTGATGGTGCCTGGGGACTGCTCCCTCCTCAAGGGCCAGCGTCTTCTTGAGGAGCTGGGCATTGATTCTCTCGGGTGTGTACTCACATGCCTCTTCTGCCAATCCCAGGAAGTTTAGAGTGCATTTATGAACCTTTTTTCTACTTTCACTTTGTGACTTTGAACTTTAGCTTTCAGAAACATGGAGAAATTTAGAGACTGAAGTGTCTGTCAGCTGAGTAGTGGTTTAAGTAGTGTTTGATGAGTTAACACCCATGTTGCATGTATTTATTTATAATTTATTCCTGAAACTGGAAGCACTGGGTGTGAGCATTTGGGACCATTTGTGCTCCAGTGCTTGATAGGAGAGTGGAGGTGCACTCATGTTATGAAGGCCTGTGATCTGGTGGGGACTGTTCAGCCATTTCTGTTAATGATGTGTTCTGCTCACACGAAAATGTGAACTGTAGTCCCCATGAAAATGTTTTCTATTTTTTCCTAATATCTTCTAGTTCCCTTAAGTCCAAACAAAACCTAAGTATTTGTGGGGAAGAAAGAAGAAAATGATTTCTAGAAAAATGACGCTTTTTGTTTTGGTTTTGCTCCAAAAGCTATCATGAAACCTGCTGCACCTGCAAGCACCTTTTTAGACGATGCCTACGTACTGCTGGTCCTTGACAAAGTTGCAATTTTATTTTATTATAAAAAAAAAGCAAAAATCCATGGCCTCTTCTGAGAGACTCTGATTTAAGTGAAATTAAAATTTCCCTTGCAGTTTCCAAAGGGTAGTCCTCACATCTTCCCAGTGAAATGTGACTGTGTAGTGGTGAAGGTGTGACCCCTCCTGAAGTTTGGTGAAAAGCATGACTTGAATTTGCATTTTAAAAATTGGTCTGACCAGATGTGATATAAGGCACTGTTGTGTATTTGGCATGAACTATGCTAAGCTAACTTCCCAGTTTTTCAGCCTGAATATCTTGTATAAGGCTGGAAGCATTTGCTGGTTTTTAGCTGCTCAGTGATTTATTACTGAGGTGCCCTTCTCTTCCTGTTCCCCATCTCATAATGGCCCTCAGTTAAAGACCCACTAATGACAGTAGAAAATTACATGCAAGTTTTGGAAAGACTACTGTCATTTAAGTAAATTCAAGTCTTTCAAGACAGGTTTGAATTCAGCATAACTAGAGAGTTATGCTGAAAACATTAAACATTATTTAAAGGACTGTTCTTAGTCTGAAAAAACAAAAAAACAAAAGTGTATTTAAAAATGCCAGGTTGCTCCCAAAGTCAATGTGCAGTTGCAGGTTGGATAAATCTTGGCATTTTCTTCCCCTCCTGAAGAATCATCGGTGACTTCCTTGATGCTGCTTCAGACCTGCCATCAATATTATTGAAAGAGAGGCATAAAATCTTTCAGCTTTTCCTCTCATTTAAGGCTGTTCTAACATCTCAGGCTACAGAGTGCTTACTGTCCAGTCCAGAGCACTGGAGAAGGACTTGCAGATTTGAGTTGTCACCTTGGGTCTAGGGACTTCCACAGATTCTTAGGTTGTGCTGCCCCAAGTCTCATGCTGGGTTCAAGTCAACAGTGCTCTTTTGAATGTACATTTTCTCTTGTATTTTGTGTCATATGTTATTGTTTGTAACTTTCATGGATACCAACAAGGTATTTGTTCTTTCCTCCAGTTTTGGAGAGATGCATTTGAGCATATTGCTCTCACTGGGAATAAAATTAGCACTTAACTGTTTCACAACATGGTCTTAAATGCCTTGGGTTAGATGGAGCCTGGTTCCTTTAAACCTGCTGGCAGGAGAACACAGGTGAGCTTGGCTGTGCTGTACAGAAATGGGACAAGAGCTCCTGTTTGGATACTGCTGGTTGCAAAGCACAGGACAGACTGCAGCTGAGGTTATGGTGTCCCTGGAGGGTGGCTTTTCTGCAGTGGGACTAAACCAGGAAACACAACCTTCAGGGAATGAGCTGAGGCTCAGGTGGAGCAGGTCAAGAGAGCAACAAGGCTAATCTAGAAGGGACAGTGTGTAGGATAGGCCTGTCCTCTGATGAAGGTGCAGGAGAAGTATACAGGAAGCACAAGGTAGCATCCACAGCTACAACAGAATGAAGCTTGGCTGCACTTAGCTTTCCAATTGTGATAGTCAGACCAGAGCTGAGTTAGGCAATGCTAGAATAAAGGAGAGGTAGACTGGACTCTGTGGAGGACTCATCCAGGCATCAGCAGAGTACAGTTCTTCTGGAAAACAGCTTGGTGCCAAGAGAGAGGAAGGAGAAGAGTGCCAGGTGTTCAGGTTTCTCTCAGAGTGGGCTGTAGCCAGGCCAGGCAGCAGCAGATACCAAGCCTTAGACAGTTCCATCAGTAGAACAGTTCTCCAGGATTTGAGCTGACAGCTTAAGGAAAGGTAAGTACTGTACCCCAGACAAGGATTGTTATCTCCAGTCATTCCTGCTTAGCCATAGCCTCCTTGCATGCATCTGGTTTTCTCCTTGGAGTGACACCAAAGCAAGCACCCAGCCGAGGACACCAAGGTGCAGCAGGAAATCAGAGCAGCTGTTCAACTCTTCTTTCTTCAGCTGACTTGGCAGCAAATATTTGAGCTGGAAGAGAGTCAATGGAAAACATTCTTTTGAGGTGTGTTGTCTTTATCAATAATCTCTTTGAGGCACAGTAAGTCTTTCATAAACCTGTAACTGCTATGGCTGATAACAGTTGCAGTAGATGGTTGAAAGAGCAAAAGAAATAACTAACCTGGCATTTATCTTTTGAATTAAAATATGTCATTCCTTTCTGACTTCTGTCATTAATTCATCACATACTGGAGTAGTGTGTGTACTACTCCAGTAGTGAGTAGTGTCCTACAAGTGACCTAGGAGGACTGTATGGGTTTTACTGTGCATGATCCTGATATGTCCAAAATTCTCCCAAATAAGTTTTTTAACCAGGAAAAGCCTATGTACAAAAATTTTTAAAAGTAAAGGAAGAAATTGTTTGGGAGGAAGAGTATTTTTTTCTCCTTTTTTTGGCTGTAACATTTATAGCTCTTTAACTGTCATAATTAAACCCTTTTCTACTTCATAAACCTGCAGATCTCCAGAAAAATTACCTGTATGTTTCCCACATGCCACTTCAAGATTCTTCTAACCAGTCTTCTAGCTGCCGGGAGACAGATCCAGGTAAGATGCTTCCAACTCCTACAGATATTAATTAAAGAAAAAAAAAAAAAAAACTGAGAAATGAAAGCCCAGGCAAAGCTCAAATCAGTTTATTAATTCCGTAAAAAATACAAGGGAAAGCCTGATTATGTTCTGCAGGGGATTAAACTGTTTACAGAGTCCTGTCAGTAAAATGCTGTATAATTCCCAGTAAAAGACCTGACTCAAATATGAAATTGAGAGTGAGCCCACAGTGGCTGTGTTCAGTTTCTCTGTTTACTGTGGGCAGGCAGCAATGCTGTAAAACTCAGCACATCCATAGGATTTCTCTGAAAAAGGGAAGGAGATCTCTGTGTTGCACTGAGGAATTGATGGTTCAACATGAACCTACTAAGCTTGATGCCAAAACTAAAAGAGCATTAGATACCCAGTCTGTAAGATTTCCTTCTGCTTGGTACACATCCATGTCCATACTTGACAGTGTCATACTGCTGGGTTTTTTTAAAGGGAAATGAAATCTGATGGTCCTTAAATTCACTATTTTCCTCCCAAGGGAGTGTTTGACCCTTGTCCCAGTTTCCAGGTACCTTGAAAGAATTTGGTTACTGGGAAATACAGAAACCAGGTAGGCAATATGACCATGCCTTTATTCTTCTTGTTGCACATTAGGTCTGCAGACTGAACCCATCCAGAAGTTTTTTTTGGGGGGGCTGGAGCTAAGATCCTTCTGCTTGGTTTGCTCACTGAACACCAGTGCAGTTCTTATCTTTTCCAGACAGGAGTTGGTAGAACAGGAAAATGTGCAAGGGGCAGGAGGGATGCTCAGAGATGAGTACTACAGAACATTTTAAACTCTTTTCTTACAGCGAAGTATTGCATCTCCTGGGAAAGGATGAAGACTCTGAATACATGGTTGCGATCCACTGTGAATACATGGTTGCCATCCACTGTTTCTCAACTAGGTGGCACCAAAAGAAATAGTCCAGTATCACCTGCAAATTAGCAACAGTGGGTACTTTTTTCCCCCACTCTGCGTAGCTCCAATGCTGACTCCTTGCTGTGGAAAGTTTGAGGCCAAAACATAAATGTTGTGTTCAGAAAGTGATTGATTAAATCGGTAGCGAAACAAATCCTTTAAAAAACAAACAAATACAGAAAGCTGAATGCATTCCCATGTGGAAGAGCAAGAGGTTTGGGGCTGCCTTTCTCAGGCAAGAGTTGTATCAGACAGCAGCAACAGAGCATGTAGAGAAACAAAGCAGGCAGAGGCAGCCGATCAGACATCTCTGCTTGCTTTCTCTAGAAAAGCAGCACGGCTGCAAGTTTTGTTTCTGCTGAAGCCCTATGGATAAGAGGAGATCACAGTTGCAAGGGTCAGAGGAGGTGGCTGTTGCTTGAACTTCTCCTCAAAGCCATGTGGCTGAGCTTCATGCCTGGACTGAGAATTCCAGTGGTGACCCAAAGCAAACCAGGTAGCCCTGCTCAAAGTGGGAGACAAGATTTCTACTCTGGACATGTCAAGCTTGAAAATATCTGCTCTGCCCTGTTTTCACTGCATCTCAGGCCGAGTACACAAAGTTCCATGTGCTGGGTTGTGGGAGTCCAGGGCATCCCTCTGGCTGCCCTGAAAGTTCTGGGACCCTGGCAGGGGGTCAGGAACCCCCCTGTACAGAGCCCCGAGAGACACTGTCTGTGATCTCTGCCCATGGAAAAGAGTTTTCAATCTTACAGGATGAATTACAAGCTCTGAGTGTTTGATATAAGTAATAATTAAGTGTGGCACAGGTGCAAAAGTAAAATTTTAGGAT